CTGCCCGCCTGCGGGGTTGGGCCGGCAGGGCCGGAAGGACGACTTCGGTGGGTGGGATCTGGGCCCGAAGGGAGGCCAACAACCGGAGGCCAATAACGGGCGCTGCGGGTCCCCTGGGGCGCGGTTTCCTTCAGCTTCTTTCCCCTGGTCTCCGAGGGCTTCGGGCTTTCCTCTTGGGCGTGGTGCGGGGCGGAATGAGCCGGCGCCAGCGGCGTGAGGCCAGTTGGCGATGCGGCCGTGCGTACATCATTTTCTGCCAACTTTGTCTCGTTCGTAGGTGAGAAAATGACCTCCAATAATGGCTGGTTTCAGAAGAGCTCCCAGGTCCCTAGTTTTGCTCAGATGCTGAAAAAGAACCTTCCGGTTCAGCCACCCGCCCAGATGGTCACCACGCCCGCAGCGCAGTCCTCGGAAAGTGACAGCCTGTCCCGCATGGCTTCCAAGGTCACACCAGTGACGGGTACGACGTCTTTTTCACCTGCAGTCAGGCCTCGGCTTTTTCAGGCTGAGCTTTGAGCCCCCGGTTAAATGTTTCCTGGATGTGTGGCCGCGTCCCTGCGGCCGGGCGCCGCCCGGAGCGTGCATCCCGGCTCCCAGCGCTGTGGGAAGCTTCTGGAAACCCTCCCCCCTTGGCTGCTAGTCATTTTTGACCCCTTGGCGGTGCAGCCGCGTCAGGTGTGCCTTGCCGTATGGAGGTGAGGCTGTCACCCCTTCAGAGAGGGGACCGGGCCGAGACTGGCTTGTGTTCCGCAGATCCCTTAGCATCCTTAGTGTTCAGTACACAGCAGGGGCACACACCCTTTACAGATTGGACCGATCTCAAGGTGAAAGATAATGTAAAATAGTCCATGGGAAACCAAAAACGAGGTTCTTGCCCCAGATGTGTGTTTTCCTCCATTGTAGGCCTTAGTGACATTGCATGTAAAAATGGCTTAACGGTTCTCAACCTGTGGGTTGCGACCCCTTTGGCGGTCGAACGACCCTTTCACAGGGGTCGCCTAAGACCATCCTGCATATCAGATATTTATGATTCATAACAGTAATAACATTACAGTTATGAAGTAGCAATGAAAATAATTTTATGGTTGGGTCACAACATTATTTAAAGGGCCAGAAGGTTGAGAACCACTGGCTTAGAGAGTCTCTGAAGACCTTGACATGACTAAGATTTTGCGATTCTTTGATAGCACTTAATGACATGACAGTGATAGCTCTTCCTTGCAACATATCCTTGGTATTCCAAGAGATTTATACATTTTACAGAATGACAGGCTGCGTTTGGCATTTGTGCCAAAATTGTTTAGGAGAAACTTACATGGAATGAAAACCACACATGACTAAGTGTGTGAGGGACAATGTCTTATTTTTTTTTAATGCATCAAATTGACAAGCGTAAA